TTTTTGAGAGCGGGTCTCGCTCCTGTCCCCCAGGTGAGTGCAGTGGCTGGGATCTGGCTCACTGCAATCTCCGCTCTCGGGTTTAGGCCATTCCCTTGCTCGGCCTCCCGAGTAGCTGGACTACAGGCGCCCGCACATCGCGCCGATATAGCTTTTTTGTTTTTTAGTATGAGGACGGGGTTTTACCGGGTTAGCCAGGATGTTATCTCCTACTCGTGTCCTGTGCTCACCTCCTCAAGTGCTTGGTATTTACAGGATTTGAGCCACCAGCGCTCCGGCCTGGTTTTCTTCTTAATTATGCTTTCCTATGGAAAAAAAAAAAAAAAAGAAGAAACCAAAAAAATTACGTAGATATTTTTCTATGCCATACAGCAGTTTTTTTGTGGAAGAATTGCAAACTTTCTGTGTATCTCTACTAAATGGAATTTTAACTGGAAAAGATCAAGACCATTTTGTAAATCAAGGTGTACAGAACACCAAGTTTGAAGGGATCTTGAGAAATCTCTGGCCCAGCCTCTGTTCAGAAAGTGGATGCCTAAGTCATTCAGTTCCTCTGGGACCTAAAAATCTCTTCCATGACATTTCTGGGGTCATTTGGTTTCTAAAGACTCAAGAACAAGGATGAGGACAATTCCACCGTCCCTATTGTCCAGTGAGCAGAGAACCTCCAGACAAAATGGTCTGGTGGCTTTCCAGGGACAAATAGAACTAAGGTCACCATCAGAGTGAGACTTCTAAGCAGTGCATCTAGGTAAATTATGGCTGTGCTAGAAGACAGTGCACAGTTACTGGATTTCGGGTTTCGGGTGAACAATGTCCTGAAAGTTGAAGAGTTGACTTATACTGCTTTTCATTATTTTATAGATGATTAACGCAGAGAGCTTAAGCACTTGTCTAAGATCTCATATTTATTACATTGTGGAGCTCGGATTTGAATCCAGCTGCAAACTTAGTTGTCACTGTGACCTTTAAACAGAATCAAAATTCAATATGCTGCAAAACATCCACAGGGTCTCAAAGCGAGCTTGGAACCTGAAACGGCCCGGGACCTCCTTGAAACGGTGATTCTGATTCATCAAGGCTGTGGCTGCGGGACCTGAGAGTCTGCATTTCTAACATTATCCCCATGCCCATGTGAGCTGCCTCATTCTTCCAGGATGAGGCATGACTAAGATGCTGCACGATTGGTTTTGAGAAGGGGCTCTACTAATACATTCACTTCCCCCTCCCCATTTTTCTCAGCGCTGAAGAGTGAAGCATCAGAGAGTGCCTCAAAGAAGATTCATGTGAGGCTTTGAGGAGGAGGGGATGAATGGGTCATATCGCTTTACTAGGAGCTAAGGAAACAGGACAGCTTGGGTGCTACGTCTCTGGTTTCAGGAGAGGCGCTTTCCCTGGAGACCAGCAGAGGGCGCACAAGGGGCAGGGACCGAGGGGGAGGAGCCCGCGGAGCCGCGGGGGAGAGTCGAGCGGGGCGGGGAGGAGCTGCAAGCGGCCCTGAGCTGAGCTCCGCTGGGAAGTTCCTATCGCTTGCGCAACAGGGTGCATTTAGACATTTCAATGACAACTAAGTTTGTAGCTAGATTCAAATCCTAGCTCCACAGTTTAGTAGGTATGTGAGTTTGGGCAAGTGCTGAACCTCTCTGAGCATCAGTTTACTGCCTATAAAATCACAGCAATAATAGTTTCTACCTCCCACTCCCGCCGCCCCCTACCCCGGCAGCAACAGCCTGCTTCCGGTTTGCAAGGATCCTCCAGTGCCCAAACCAGAGGATCAGTTACCCATGCTTAATACTCCCAACAGTTCTTGCTTGCTGAAGTAGGCAGTCATCATTTACGCAACTACCCCTCACCAGAAACGCCTTCCCTTTAGAACACCACTGAAGTGGAAAGTGAGAGAGGGAAAGGAAATTTCTCAAGGCACTGCGGTGATTTTGTGTTTCTTTAGCATGAGTGGGAAATTACCGGAAAGCTTCCTCTGTTTTCTTTACTATCTTTAGGTGGTAATTCCCAGCATCAGAAAACAACAAAAACAGCAGCAAGCAAAGGCGCTGATATTCTGAAAATAGTTGTTGAAAACCCACATGGTTTAGGTACAGAATGGCTTCCCTGTTGTCAGCACATTATAACTCTTTATCACACAATTTTAAAGCATCTGATTGAAAGACATCATTTTGTCTGAGTGATATTAAAAACGAACAACTAGCATAACATTTAAAATCGTCGGGAAAAGGTAGCTCGTTTACAAAGTGAACATTCCTACCTGTCTACCTGTCTCCAGGTTCAGACAGCGCCAATATTCTCAATTAGAAAATTAACATCTGAGGCTCCGACATCCTCCCTGGATGCTACTCAGCTAAATCCTGTGTATTGATGAGCAAAGTCAATTGCCAGGAAAGCTGGGCAACTGTAAGGTCAGGGAGCTGGAGCAGATGAGAGTAGGGAAGTCCAATATAGCATCCCTGAAAGTAATGACACAGACAATCTGCTAAGCGCTGCAAAAATCATTTGGATTGTGATGTAAATTGGAAACAGTTGTGGTGGGGATGGTGCCCGGGGACTAGGAACCCTATTAAACTGATTGGTTAGACACGGAATAGGAATATGAAGAGAGAGTATCAAACACTTGAGAACTGTTCTGAGAGGAATGTGTAGTCTGTGCTGGGCTAGCAAAGGCATCAAGAGAAAGTTTCCCAGGCAGATAAAATCCAATGCACCATGCAGCTGCTGGAGACACCCCCTGATGCAAGGTGAACCCTTAAGAGGCTGAGAGGGAAAGGTGGGGGGCACTCAGGCCAGGATGAAGACGCCCTGAGAGGAAGCGATTTCACTGGTGTTGCCTGAGGGACTGTAAGCAGGGACAGGTGAGGCTGGGGAGCGTACCCGCGCTGGAAGCACAGGTCCCCACCCTGTGCCCAGTGTCCTGGGACCCAAAGGAGGTTTATTGCATGTGGAATCTGTCTGGGCAGGCTGCCCAGGGTGGCTGTGCTCCATTCTGAGTCAGGGCAGGGAGTCAGCTAGTTGATTTGGCTCCAACTTGCTAGTGGTGGTTACTTTCAAGATAAATGAGACCATGGCAAAAGTGCCGGGCTGGGAGAGGGTAAATCTCAGTTCTAATCCTCCTTCAGCTACAGTCTGGGTATCTGGGTATCCTAGACAAGTCTAACTTTCATTGTCCTCAGTTTCTGCGTATGTATAACGGTGAGTCTGAAATGGAAGCATTTTTACATCCTTGTTAACTCTAAAGTTATCTAAGGAAACTTGCTCAGTATCATCATGACAGCAATCACAGACCAGAGCCAATCCTCCCTGGAGCAGAACATTCCTTCTTCATTCTGGCAAATTTACAAGCCTGTTACACCAGATCTTGAAGACACATAGTGGAAAATGATGTTATTAATGTACCAATGAAAAAAATGCATCCACATATATCCTAGCTTTAAATAGCAACTTTTTCCCCCCTCAAGAAATTACCCTCAGAGGATCTTGTGTCTGTGGCTAGATATTTTGAGATTAGACAACTTTTTTTTCCCCTCTCCTTGTATTTCTACTTTCCTAGGCTCACCTCCACCTCTGTAGCCAGCTCCCTAGTCATTGGCCCAGGGCAGGTACATGTCAGAACCCTTCCAGGAATAGCTTGCAGGTTCTTCTGGCTTCGATTTCCCAAACAGGGCCTTAGGTTGGGACACAAGGCTTTGCCAAGTTGGGGGAAGAGGGGTGGGGGGTGCTGATGGGTAGAAGCAGAGAGGCATGCTTCTAGAAACAGGAAGACAGGAAGGGAAAAGAGGCCTGTGGGTCCCAGGAAGACAGGACTCTGGCAGGACCCCAGTGTTAGCTATGTGGTCTGGAAGCAGTGGGGACTTGCTAGGCAAGACAGGCACAAGAGTGCATTCAGTGGTAACCCGAGTGGACCAGATGGGGGAGCAGGAGACACCTGCACCCGTGCCCCTGGGATCTTGGCAATGCATAAAAGATCTGAAATTGTGACACAGTGACACAACCTGGGGTGGTTTCTATGGTTGCCAGCCAGATGAGATGAAGGCTCTAAACCAATATTAATATCTAGAAAATAGAGGAGAGGTAGTATGTTTTGCACATCTGTGCATACTAGAGATTCATCCTCACTACCCTTTTGGTTCACAGGTTGGGAAAGAAAATAAAAGGTAGTCTTGAAACTATCCGAACCTAGTTATATCGCTGACCAAGATGAGGAGGAATCTCAGACCCCAGAAACTCAGGACTAAAAGTGGCTTTCGATTTTGCCTTTATTATGGTCTTCTGAGTTCAAATCCAGACAGTTTCCCTGACTATAAAATGGGATGGTTATGAAGAGTAAATGAGATGGGACACATAGCTTATATTTTTTGGTCCCTTGCAATACTTTGCATGTGGCAGATTACTTGTTGACTATCAAATTATTTACTATTTTTTAATTTCTTTTTTTTTTTTTGAGACAGAGTCTCACTCTGTCACCCCAGTTAGAGTGCAGTGGCGTGATCATGGTGCAGCCTTGAACTCCCCCGGGTCAGGTGATCCTCCCACCTCAGCTTCCCAAGTAGCTGGGGCTACAGGCACATGCTACCATGCCCAGCTACTTTTTCTATTTTCTGTAGAAGCAGGTCTTGCCATGTTGCCCAGGCTGGTCTCGAACTCCTGGGATCAAGAGATTTGATCCTCCCACCTCAGCATCCCAAAGTGCTGAGATTACAGGCGTGTGCCACTGTCCCTGGCCTTATTGACTATTAAAGCTAGTTCAACTCACAGTGAACCTGGGTCCAGAGAGATGCCTGGTTTGGTGACTGTGGACAAGCCACGTTGTCAGTAGCATCAGTAGCATCAGGACTATAAATGTTGTAGTAGTGTCAGGAACATGAACATCAATCTATGGTAAAATACAAACTTATTTATCTTGAATTTAGCATAGTGCTTTAAGTGCATGGACCCTGAAGACAGATATGTTGAGCTTGAATACTGGTTCACCATTTACTCCTCATAGGTACTCAGAATAGTCTCTAGCTCAGAGTTAAGTGCTATCTATGCATTTGCTGTTATTGCTGGTGTTATTAATTTGTGCACAGTAAAACAGAAAATGCCTGACTAGCACTATTAGGAAGGAAAGTTGTTTGGAGGCGTTTGAGAGAAGCTTATTACAGGCCAGTGAGGTGAGAACAAATCATTTCAGTGTTGCAACACCCTGTCACTGGATTTAGCAATACCATGACTTTGGCAATTCCCCAGAAAGAAAGTTCTATGGGACACTTGCAGGGGAGGGGAAAGCAGGATAGGAAGGTTTAAATGAAATATAACCAATGTGAACAATATAAATATTTATCCATATTCCTTTAGCATAAATGAGCTCCTTCCCTAGTGTGATCAAAGGCAGGCAGATCTCTCTTACCATAAAACAAACAGAACGTCTTCTCTTGAGCAGATCATTCCTTCCTTCTTTCTTTTACGGCCAAATTCCTCAGACGAGAAGTCTAAAAACTCCACCCAACATTTCCACTGCCCAGTAACTCAGTAACTAGCCTCTCTTTAACCTCCTCAGGTCTTTTTTTTTTTTTTTAGACCAGGTCTCATTGCATCACCCAGACTGGAGTGAAGTGGTACGATCGGAGCTCACTGCAGCCTTGAACTCCTGGGTTCAAGTGATCCTCCCACCTCAGCTTCTGGAATAGCTGGGGCTATAGGCATGCGCCACTATGCTCAGATAATTTGTGTGTGTGTGTAGGGGGCTGTCTCACTATGCTGCCCAGACTGGTCTTGAACTCTTGGTTTCAAACAATCCTCCTGCCTTGGCCTCCCAAGGTATTACAGGCATGAACCACTGTACCTAGCCTCTTTTCTTTTTTGAATCTCCTAGTGGTGTGTGTGTGTGTGGTTTGGTGTTTTGTTTTTTGTTTTTTTAGCATTGGGCAGTTTTGGCCACATATTTCTTCTTGAAATATCTCTTCCTTTGGCTTCCTTGATTTTTCTCTATCTTTCTGTCATTCTATTTTCCAACAGATCCTTTTCTTTTTCCAACTCCCATGGCTTCCAGGTTTCCCCAAGACCTTATTCTCTGCTTTAGGCTTCTTCCCTCAGTGACCACATTTGCTTTCACAAGTTAAACTGTCACCACTAAGCTCCCAAAATCTTTCTCTAGGCCCGACCTTACCTGTACTCAAAGGTGTGTTTCAGTTGACTCTAGAACATTTCCATTTTGTCATCAGACTCAACATGTCTCAAAGTGACTTAATATTTTGAATTTTGAAAATCCTCCAGGAAACAAAAACATTTTTGCATAGTACTCAGAGACATATAAGCAGACCTCTCCCCAGGCCAGGGAATCCTACCCCTGTTAGAGGCTGTGCAGGGTGCTACGGAGCACAGAGAACTTGAAAACCCATCCTGAGGGGCCTCTGCACATAGAGGATTCAGATCTGGAGTCTTAATGATCAGGAATTAGCTGGGGAGAGCAGTAGGCATTCCTGGTCAAGGCTGCCAAACAGCATGGACAAAGGAGAAGAGACAGCCCAGGCCTGGGGAGCTACCTGGGGCTGGAGTGGCTCAGAAGGTAGATTTGTGGGTTCAAGGTGGGAGCTGGGGGAAGATGAGGCTAAAGAGGATATGCTGGGGGCAGAATTCTACAGTGAAGGCAATAGGGGGTGCTATGAGTTTTGAGCACCACCACTGCATTGCACTCAGACTCCTCGAGGCCTCTGGGAATTGGCTCCATGTAATTTATCTAATCTGAGACTCTCTATAACACATAACCCATGCCTTCTACTCCAAGTTGGTGGGGCACTTCACCGTTACCTATAAGGACTTGAATTTCAATCAAGAATCATTTATCAAATGCCTCTTATGTGCCAGACACCAAATTTGGCTCAGGGGAGCCCTAGGTAAGTGAGACACAGCTCTGCTTCAGTGAGTGGGTCAAAGACCCCTTAACTCCTATGGACAATACAGAGCTTCAAAGAGGTCTATGCAAGGACTAATGGAGGACAAAGGAAAAATCCTCCAATTCTGCTCAAAAACTTGGATAGGGGCCTGCCAGGGAAGTCTTCACTGGAGAAGGTGTCATTTGAGCTGCTTCTTAAAAACTGTAGAGGATTGCTCAGCAGAGCATTTTGAGCATAGGAGAGTAGGCAT